GAGCCCGGGCTCCTGCTGCCACCTGCTGGGATGTGACATCGCCAGGATGTGACACTTGCAGAGGCCACCAGGTCCTGCCTGAGCTGCCACCGCCAGGGGAGCTCTGACTTTGACCCTCATCCGTGGAGAAATTCCCTAAACTTCAAAATAGACTGGAAGCCACAAAAGTGTGAAATTATAGAGAGCAGTGTAGGAGGATCACTTGGTGAGAAGTTGAATTTTTGGGATTTTTAGTATGCAAGATGGAGGGCACAAAGTGTCCTCCTGAATTTCTTCTTCATGCTTCTTCTTCGTGGGTTTGGGTGGCATTTTGTAATTGGGCGGAAAAATCCACATTGGGATCAGTTATTGGGTTAAAAAGGGAAATAATTTGGGTGTCTGTTCTTAATTGGATAGTTTGGTCCTAAAAAACCTTGGAACAAGAGATTGTTGGCCATTTTGTGCCTCCTAATGAAAAACTGCCAAACTCACAGTTCTGAGATTAACTGATAAGAAATAATAAACACAATAATGAACACTTGAGTCCAAACACAAATTACTGTCCCAAATGCCTTCAATCCAGACCCAGAGAAACCCACAACTGGTACCCCCACAGTGATGCCCCAAACCCAGCCCTGAAGGGAATCCCAAAAAAATCCCACAAAAGCTCTGGGAGTTCCCAAAGAGGGAGAGCAGCCAGAGCTGCTGCAGCTGCCCCAAAAGCATCCAGGGACCTGCAGGGACTCGCAGCCTCTTGCCTCATCCTGCTGGGGAAGGAAAATTTGGCTCCAGCCCTTGGCTTGAGCCCATTTCCAACCCACCGAGGAGCGTGGGTGGCTCTGCAGCTCCTCCTGTCCCAGCCGTGGGGAGATGGGGAGAGAGATCAGCTCATATCGAGAGATCTTGGAGCCCGAGAGGGGCACGCCCTGGGCAGGGGAGGGATTTTGGCAACCCCACGGCTCCTCTGGGAGCAGAAGGAGCTGGGCTGGGAGCGGCTGAGCCCCTGAGCCTTTGCTGGGTCCTGGGGAGGGATCAGAGCCTGGACCTGGTTCCATCAGGGCAGGATCAGAGCCTGGTCCTGGTCCCATCAGGGCAGGATCAGAACCTGAGCCTGGTCCTGGCTCCATTGGGGCAGGATCAGAGCCTGGTCCTGGGCAGGGTCAGAACCTGAGCCTGGTCCTGGTTCCATCAGGGCAGGATCAGAACCTGAGCCTGGTCCTGGTTCCATCAGGGCAGGATCAGAACCTGAGCCTGGTCCTGGTTCCATCAGGGCAGGATCAGAGCCTGGTCCTGGGCAGGGTCAGAACCTGAGCCTGGTCCTGGTTCCATCAGGGCAGGATCAGAGCCTGGTCCTGGGCAGGGTCAGAACCTGAGCCTGGTCCTGGTTCCATCAGGGCAGGATCAAAGTCTGGTCCTGGGCAGGGTCAGAACCTGAGCCTGGTCCTGGTTCCATCAGGGAAGGATCAGAGCCTGAACCTGGTCCCAGATCCATCAGGACAAGATCACATCCTGACCCTGGATCCATTGGGACAGGATCCCATGGTGATCCCAGATCCAGGATCAGAGCCTGGTCCCAGATCCATCAGGACAGGATCCTGTGGTGACATCAGATCCATCAGGACAGGATCCCATCCTGATCCCCAGGTGTCCCCACCATGCCACCACTGCCAAACCCACAAACCCCTTGTGTTGTAGAAGAAAAATCCCCATTTAGGGGATGAGAAATGTAGAATTTTATGTGAAAAGGGCATTTTTTGGACACCCAAGGAGGTGCTTTGTCCCTGACCTACATCCACCTCTCCAGGTGTGCCGTAAACATCCTGGGAGCACAGGAGAATGAGGGAGGCTCCCTGTGAAGAGAACAGGACTGACCAGAAGGAATCTTCTCCTCCTTCTCCTCCTCCTCCTCCTCCTCCTCCCACCCTGATCCTGCCCGGGGCTTCTCCAAGCCTCTCCCGCCACTCCCGGTGCGGATTCAGGTGAGGCTCCATGGCTTCTTTTTGCCTTTAAAATGAATTTTTGTGTTTGAAATGAGCTTTTGTGTTAGCGGGGCTGCCTTAGAACCGGTTTTAGCCGGCGGCAGGATGGGATCAGCTCCTTTGGGCACCTGCAGGAGCTGATTCATTCACCCCACAAGTGCCTGGGAGCAGCTTCCCTCTAATTGAGGCAGGGAAAGTGGAAAAAATGAGGGGAATGGAGGGGAAAGTCCGAAGAGAAGCTGGGAAAGGAAAGTTTCTTTTCATCTCTGGTGAAATCAATCGCAGGAAGGCTGAGGTGGGATGTTTGGGGTTTTTGGAAGGGAAATTTGGGATTTTGGAAGGGATGTTTAGGATCATTGGAAGGGATATTTGGGATTATTGGATGTTTGTGGCATTTGGGACTTTTGGAAGGGATGTTTGGGATTATTGAAAGGGGTGTTTGGGATTTCTGGAAGGGATATTTGGGGTTTTTGGGAGGGATGTTTGGGATTACTGAAAGGGGTGTTTGGGATTTTTGGATGGGATATTTGGGGTTTTTGGGAGGGATCTTTGAGGGGATTTTTCTGCCACCCTGACAGCGCCTGTGGCCTCAGGTTCTGCTCCTCTCCAGGACCAGAGCCATGTCCAGGTTCATCAAAGCCATCACTGACATGATGCAGAGCTCCCAGGGCAACGCCAGGAAGGGCAGGAAATCAGAGACCTTCAGCAGGAGCGAGTTCAAGAAGCTGATCCAGCAGGAATTCGTTCCTGTCAAGGTAACAGCAGGGGCTGGAGGGGGAAAAGAGGTTGGGAAAGGGACCTGGAATTGTTGGAGCCAGTCCAGAGGAGACCACAAAGGTGATAAAGGGACTGGAGACCTTTCCTGATGGATCCAGGCTGGGAATGTTGGGAATGTTGGGAATGTTGAGACCCCAGAGCCCCTCCAGGATCTGCAGGGGCTCCAGGGAAGCTGGAGAGAGACTTTTCCTCAGGAACTGCAGGGACAGAGAGGCAGGATGGGCACCCACAACTGGGCACTCCCCATGGGCAGTTGGGGCGCCCAAAATTTGGGATTTGAGCCCTGGGGATGCTGCAGCCACCAGGGGAGGTCGTTCCTGCTGTCACCACATCGCCCTCTGCCTTCTGGGGTATTTTGGGGCATTTGGGGCATCCACCCCACATTCTGGGCTGGGCTGGGGTCTCTCCTCTTTTGGGGTTTTCCCTGCAGAGCTCCGGTGCCCCTTCCCCTTTTCCTACAGGGGCATCTCCAGCTCTGTAGCCCTGTTTGGACGGGTTTGGGCCCCTCCAGCACCTCGGGCTGAGGGGTCCTGACCCTGCCCCACCTCGGGAAGGGCTGACAGGCTCGTGTGTCCCCTCAGAGGTCCCCGAGCAGCAAGTACAGAGCCATCCCACGGCCCTCGGAGCACGACATGGAGCCCATGAACAAGGAGAGGGGTCCCACCAAACCCTGCATCTACTGAGGGCTCTCTGCTGCTCCTGGCACGTGGACGGAGCAGGTGAGGGACACCAGGGTGATGTCACCCATGGGACACCTCCTAAGGTGGGGACAGAGCCCGGTGTCACCTGCAGGTGACGAGGTGTGGTCATGGTGGTGAGCCCAGCCCAGCGGGGAGGGTGGGATGGAGCAGGAGCTGGGCTCTGCAGGGCGTTTAATCAGCTCTAATTAACCCTGAGCAGTAATTGGGCACCAATCAGAGTGGGCTGGAGGGAGGAATTCGAGTCCTGCCAGGTTTTGTGGGTGAATCCCCCCTCCTGTTGGTTTTCCTCCTTTTCCATAGGATTGCTCCGATGCTGGGATCTCCTTCCAGGCTTGTCCTGCTCCTCCTTCCAAGCCAGGAACATCCTGGGACGAGTGAGGACCAAGCCCAGCTCCACCAATTTACCTCCATGAGGCAAAAATATCCCCAGGTCTCCTTTTGGTCCCCATACTCCAGTGGTGTCTCCTCGGGGTGCTTTAAAAATGCAGCTTTGAAGGCTTGGAGGGGGTGGTTTGGGCAGATTTTCTCTTTTTTTTCCTCATAAAAAGCAAAAAATCTCAACCCTGCTGAAATCTCAGCCCCTTCACCCCAGTTATTAACAGGGAAAAAATGAAAAAAGTCCCTGCTAATTATTTGATTATTTGATATCAGCCTGTACAGAAATAACGAACCCAGAGTGGCAATTCCTGGGGAAAAATGAAAAGTTCATTTTTGTTGGGAGCTCATCTCCAGCTCATTTGGAGTCAACAGCAGAATTCCCATGTGCTTTTGGGGGATAGACACACCAAAAATGCACCTCAGGGAGGTGGATTTTCAGAGAGATTTTTCTGCACTGTAAATATCCCAAAGGCGTTTTTTCCCTGCTTACTGTCCCCTTTCTCACATAAACGGTTGTACCACCACAAAAACCCAATAAAAACCATCCAACCTGGTGCCTGCCTGGATTTTAGGAGCCTTCCAGCCCTAAAACCCCATCCTGGGCTGTATCCTTGGTTCTGGAGAACTTCCCAGCCCTAAAACCCCATCCTGGTCTGACTCTAGAGAAGGTCCCAACCCTAAAACCCCATCCTGGACTGGTTCTGGAGAACCTCCCAGCCCTAAAACCCCATCCTGGCTCTCAAGAACATCCCACCCCCAAATCCCCATCCTGGGCTGGTTCTGGAAAACCTCCCAGCCCTAAAACCCCATCCTGGACTGGTTCTGGAGAACCTCCCAGCCCTAAAACCCCATCCTGGGCTGTATCCCTGATTCTGGAGAAGATCCCAGCCCCAAAACCCCGTCCTGGGTTGTGTCCTTGGTTCTGGAGAACATC